ATCTGCATTTCTAATCAACACTCCTGATACTGGTGGTCCCTGGGCCACCCATTGAGGGACAGTTGGAGGCCTTTCCTAAGTCAGGCTAGGTTATATGTGTCTGTGTGGTAGGGAGGGGGTGTGGTTCATGCTGTATTTGATGTTGTGGGGTGCAGTCTGTCCCAGTCCTTCCTACCTGTACTGGCTCCCCCAGGTGGCTCCCAAGAGGTGAAGGGAGTCCTGAGGAGGCTGAAGATTGTGTGATATGTGAAGGGGGCTCCCCTCCATGTCTGGTACTTCCTTGCCCTGCCAAAAAAAAAGGGGGGAGGCACCCACCATCTACTCCCTCACTGGCATTCTTTTCAGTATTGGATTGAGGTCTACAGGGCAGTCTCCCTCTCNGGGGGGAGGCACCCACCATCTACTCCCTCATTGGCATTCTTTTCAGTATTGGATTGAGGTCTACAGGGCAGTCTCCCTCTCTGTGCATCTTTTAAGGAGGATACTGCTCCCACTCTCCAACTCTGCATCTGTGACTGCCCTATGGGCCCAGATCTCTACCCCTTGCCTCTGCTCCAGCTCCTTCACAGCAGCCATCCACCTAACATTTTATCAAGCACAGGTGCTGTGCCAAGCCCTGGTTGGGCAGTGGGGCTAGAGAGATAGGTGGCAGCTCCAACACAAAAGGCAGGGTGTGGTGAGAAGCCTTCTCACATGTGAGGCACGTGGTTATGAGTATTGCAGTCTCTTAACCTCTCTGAACCTGTGAATCTGTCGCCTCATCTATTTCTTGCACTCTCTTTGTCTCTCAAGAGTTGTCAGTCTGGACAACTCAAGCCTTGCTGAGCTGTTCCCTCTCCAGAGGGCAGGAGAGAGGCTGGCAGAGACCCTTGGAAAGGGGTATTTCTGACCCTGTGCCCCAAGTGTGCCCTGCCACGGCTCCCTCAGCTCACGCCTACCTTGTGCCCTGCAGGCTGCTTCGAGGAGACGCTGTGGTGGAGCTGGGCCTCAACGACTACCTAGACATCTTCTGCCCACATTATGAGGGCCCAGGGCCCCCTGAGGGCCCTGAGACTTTCGCTTTGTACATGGTGGACTGGTCAGGCTATGAGGCCTGCCAGGCACAGGGGCCTGGTGCCTTCAAGCGCTGGGAGTGCTCCCTGCCCTTCGCTCCCTTTGGTCCTGTTAAATTCTCAGAGAAGATTCAGCGCTTCACACCCTTCTCCCTTGGCTTCGAGTTTTTGCCTGGAGAGACCTACTACTACATCTGTGAGTGAGGAAGGGGACACTGGCTGCCTCTTGGGGGAGGTGGGGAGAGGAATGGGGGTGCCTGGCTTTGCCACCAGTCCAGGCAGAGAGCCTAAGGGAAGAATGGAACTGGGAATGAAGACCATACCTGGAAGGGGGGAGGGGCTGTGGTCAGGGAGGGGGGCTGGAGGGGCCCCGAGTCCAGGACTGAGGAGGGGGCATCTAGACTGAGTCTATAGAGAGGAGGGGGAAGAAGAGCTAGGAAAGGGGATGAGGAGTGGCCGTGGATGGGGACTGGCACCTGGATGGAGCCCAAAAGAAAGGAAAGCTTTCCAGGGAACTGAAGAGAAGAGAAGCTGGGAGGGTCTGAAACAGGGTCTGCAAAACAGCCTGTGCTAACTTTTTCCTCCCACCAACCAGCGGTGCCCACTCCCGGGAGTCCTGGCCAGTGTTTGAGGCTCCAGGTGTCTGTCTGCTGCAAGGAGAGCAGTAAGTGGGTTGGGGCACGGGGAGCAACCCTTCTGGCTAGGGTCCCTCTTGGGAATGAGGGAAGGTGTGGGGAGAACCTTAGAGGGGTTCAGGCAGGGCTGTAAACTCTGGCCTCTTCTCCCCCCTGAGCCTGTGGGAGCTTCCACTGCAGCCTGTGTGCTGGGCCAACAGAATGACATCTCCAGGGGCAAGGCCTTGGAAAGCTTTAGCTGAACTGGTGGTCTGTATTGTATTGGCAATTTGGGGGAGACTTGGAAGGTGGGGTTTAGAGAGGACAAGATGCAGGTTATGGGAAGGGAGTGGCTGATTTGAGAGACCCTGGAGGACAGGATGGGAGTGAACAGCTAATGGGGAGAGCAAAGCAGCCTGCTGGAATGGAGGACACATTGGTGCTCCCCTCCCCCTCACAGAGTCTGAGTCAGCTCATCCTGTTGGGAGCCCTGGAGAGAGTGGCACATCGGGGTGGCAAGGTGGGGGCGCTCCCAGCCCCCTCTGTCTCTTGCTGCTGCTGCTGCTCCCAATTCTTCGTCTCCTTCGAGTTCTCTGAGCCAAGCGGACCCTTCCTGCCACCCCAGGAGCCAGAGCCCTCCAAAGACTCCCTGGAGGAGGAGCCCCTGCCACCTGAGCTGGGAGTGCCAAGCCAGACAGGATGGAGCAGTGATGAGGAAAGTCAGAGGGTCTGAGGTGACCCTTGCAGGTGCTGGCCCCTCATCCCAGGCTGAAAAGGAAACTACAGGGGAGCTGCAGACAACCCTGGGCATCTGGAACCAAGGCAACATAACACAGGGTATCCAACAGCTGCTTTGATGGCCTTAACCCATCTCCCAGGAAGACTGGAATTTGGTGGAATTGAATCCTTGAGCCTGCTGGGGGCCAAGACTGAAGAGCTGGGGCAGGTGGATTGAAGGACCAGGGCAAGGAAGCAGCCCAGGCCTGCCATCTGTGCCCAGTGCCCTGTGGGTCTCTTCCCTAGGGCAGTACCTTTCCCTTCCAGGGGGTCACTCGTCTTCTGTGAAGACAGACTTGCCATAAGGCTGAATTTCATACCAATTTGTATTTTTATAAGTGTCTGGACCAAACCCTCAATAAACTACCCATCTTTTTTGTTGCTCTCCTCAACCTACTGCCCTCTGGCTCCTTCCTTGACACAAGGACTCCCTTTGGCCTCTGCTCTCAGCTTGGCTTGGCCTGACCTCCATGCCAGCTGTGCCCAGGCCATCCATGCCAGGGCTCAGTAGGCACCTCTCTGGGCAGTGTGGAGTGGGTGCCAGCAGCAGCTGTGGAGCTTGGCACTCTCTCCCACCTCCCTAGCTGGTTTCCTGTGCTGAGGAGGGGGAGATGCTCCTGACAACCCACCTACTTGGGGCACTGCCCAAACTGTGGTAGCACCAGGCAGGGGTACTATGAAGACAGCACCTTTGGGTTTCAGGACGCTTGGATCCCTGAGAGCTGAGCGTCTCTCTCCCTCCCAAGGGCAGTCTGGGCGGTGCCTGGCCTAGAACTGGAAGGTGGGGTCAGATCAAAGCTTCCTTCCCCAGCGGCCTCTTTGTTCTTAGCTTTTATAAGGAGGGAGGAGGTGGGCTAAGGAGGGAGGGCCCCCTTCGCTCTCAGCCCCACACCGTCTCTCCCACCTCCTACAAGGCTATGATCCCCCCAAACCCAACCGGGGAACTCTTTCTGAATGATGTCCTGGGTGAAGCCAGGGGAAAGGGTGCCCCTTCCCCCGAAGCTGTGCTCTGCCGCCCCTGTGCCCCACAGCCTCCACAGGCATAGTGCCCGCCCGCCTGGCGCGGAGCCCGCGATCAATAGGTGGATGTTGTGCTCATTAGCTCCGCGGCTGCGGCAGCGAGAGGCAGAGTGTGAACATGGGGGTGGGGGGTGGGGATGCTGGGGGGCCCGGAGACTGACAGGTCGAAACGCTGGGGATTGCGAACCCCTCCCCCACCCCCTTGAGTGCCTAGG